TCTCGTTGAAGGTGCCCCTAGTTTTTGCTGACCCTCTATTTGACCAACCACGTGTCCTTTTCGAGCAGTTGATCTTTCCTGATGTAAGCAAGTCAAAGTCTCCTCATCTTTACTTATAAGAAGACTTCTGTATGTCATTTTATCATTGTGGGTAAGTGTCATTGAGTCAGTCCTGACTCATAGCAACACTGTATAAGGTTTCCAAGGAGTGGTTGGTGGGTTTGAACTGCCAACCTTGTGGTTAGCAGTCCAGTGCTGATCCTACAGCGCCATACCAGGACTCCCTGGCTATCATTGTTGTTGTTACATGCCATTGAGTCAATTCCGACCCATAGCAACCCTGTATAGGGTTTCCAAGGAGCAGCTGGTGAGTTTGAACCACTGATCTTGCAGTTCAAATGACTTTGCAGTCTGACACATTAGCCCACAGCGCCACACCAGGGTTCCTATCATAGCTGACTGTAATTAGAACAAATCTTTCAAACGGTAATTTTGATGTATCATCAAGCCTGTGAAAATGTCTAGGAATTATGATATTAGCAAAAAATACTGAATACACCATGGACTGCCAGAAGAAGAAGCAAATCTGTCTTGGAAGAAGTACAGCCAGAATGTTCCTTAGAAGCCAGGATGGTGAGACTTGGTCTCATATATTTTAAACATGTTATCAGGAGGGACCAGTCCCTGGAGAAGGAAATCACACTTGGTAAAGTAGAGGGTCAGCAAAAAAGAGGAAGACCCCCTCAATGATAAAGACTGATACTGCAGTTGAAATGTAGCAAAATTATGAGAGTGGCACAGGACTTGGCAATGTTTCATTCTGTTGTACACAGGGTCCCTGTGAGTCAGAAACAACTCGCTGGCACCTAACAACAACAAATCAAGCCTTTAGTTGTTTGACCTGGGAGCTTCCTTTCTAGGAACCTGTATTACTGGGGGGGCCGGGGGGGGTGTCTACTACTCCACTGGTATTGAGTTGATATCATCCTAGTGACAGAGTATAGAATTGCTCAATAGGATTTCTGAGGCTGGAATTCTTTATAAAAGAAGACTGCTCCTTCTTTCTCTCACCGAGTGACTGCAGGGAAGCCTAGTTGTGAAAATTAGTATATAAGGATTTATCACAATGTTATTTTACTACAGTAAAAAATATCTGAAACAACCTAAGAACATGAAAAGAGTTATTTAAGTTATGGTGCGTCTGACTAGATGAATGATTCTGTTTACAAGAAGTCTATTAAAAAAAAAAAAGAAGTCTATTAAAACATGAATGCGGAAGCATCTGTACAATCTTATAAAAATGATGCTTTCAGAAAACAGAAAGCATGCAATCTTCACAACTCCAAAATTCTGGGAAATAATAGGGTACATTTTGGCAGCGGTCGTTTTATAGTGCTAGGAGTGAGGGGTGTTTTGTTTGTTTGTTTTCCTTTCATTCTATTGATGTTATTTTCAAGGTCATCATAAACTCTATAATACGTAACTTTTTCACGAGCAAAAAACTATCATAAAACATGTTTTGTAAAAAATTATACAAACATAAGGACGTCATATGGAATCTTTATGGTTTGGAAAGTGGCCAAGAATGAAATAGTTTAGGACAAAGATAGAATCAATTGTCTCAATTCCAATAAAAGGATGGCTGGCTGGTGAGGAACCTGTGTTTCCTAATGTCCCTCGTGAGCTTACTGCTTCCGCCCCAGGATTTCTACAGGCCTGAAGAAAAGGCACCAAGTTACTTTTCTCAGATGCTAGTACACTCACAAGTGTCCCTGGGTTATCAGGAGGTACAAATGATTAAGCACTCCACTACTAGCTGAAAGGTTGGTGGTTCAAACCTACTCAAGAATGCCTCAGAATACACAGGTCTGGTGAACTACCACTGCGAGGTCACAGGCTTGGAAGTCCAGTGCAGCAGTTCCACTCTATACCTCTGGGGTTGCCATGAGTCCGTTGGAATTTTCTCAAAAGCAACCAAAAAGAAGTGCATTTAGAGTTACGCTTCCATTCTCATTTAGTGCCATGGTGACTATCCAGAAAAATGAATCAACAGTTTTAAATGCATAGCATTTATTACAGAGTCCTGGTGTGACCCTGTAGGATAAGCATGGTCAGTTTGCATGGCAAGGCTGGTAGTTCAAACTCATCAGCTACTTGTGAGAAACCCTATACAAGGTCTCTATGAGTCTGAACCAACTCGATGGCACTTAACAACAACGCATTTATTAGGCATCCTGGTGTGGTGCTATAGGATAAGCACTGGACTACTAACCACAAAGTTGGTTAGCACAGCCAATCCTTGCAACCCTGTGAGTCAGAACCAACTCAACAACAGCAACAGCATTTATTAATCACTTCCTATGTGCAGGTACTGTTTCCGTGCTTTTCATACTTACATTTCACCTTTCCCAGCCTTCCAAAGCTCTTCTCAGAGGAATTAATGTCTCCTTTCTGTAACTGACCCCTCGTCTTCTCCTGCTCACACAGAGAAAGCCTTTTGGGATATGATTGATTTTGTGTGAAATGAAAACCAGCAGGCTAGATTATCCTTTCTCCCTATTTGAAGAGCTGGCCAGAAAAGCATCGTCAGGTAGCTGCAAAAGGGAAGGTTCAGAAAATGGCACCATAAAACCTCACAGGCCTTCTGCCTGTGCTGTGACGTGTTTGCTTTGCAGATTTCAGGCATACTTGCTGATGTCAGCAGCGATCAAAGTTTAAAATAATAATAGTGAAAACAGCCCTTTTCTCCCAGGCAGTCCTGACCTGCCAACTCCTATGTTCTGTTTAGAGTTAATAAACGTCCAAGAACCACCTCCCTACCACCTTGGGGGTAAGGGGAAGCACAGTGATTTAAAAACCACCAGGTCAGCCCCTTGCCAGCATAAACCATTCAGACAAGTAGCATTTGTCACACTCTAACGAGGATTTTATGTCTGCTTCAGAACGAAAGCTATCATTAGGCTTTGCATTTATGGGATCAAATGATTGTATACGGGGACAGTGGGCTTTCTTTCAGTCCCTTCCTCATCTTAATCATGACCAAATACATAGATATTTTCTGAATCAGGCTAAATGAAAAAAACGCTAATTATGCCAGCAAATGTATTCTGAAAACATCAATTAAGAAAACGACCTTTTAATTCCCGTTTCACGTGAAAACCTGGAAGCAGTCACACGTGGGGGATGGGGGGCTGTCTCTAAAAAGGAGCCAGCCTACATAAATGGTGGTTTCAGGAGGTCAGACAGGCTCCCACTGGTAAAAAGCAGTCGGTGAATCTCTACCAGAGAATTAAGTTCTCCATAAAACAAGATCTCTTAAGTTATCTTCACATGTAGAGCTGAAACTGGAACCAGTCCCTAAACAGGCTGATACCAAGCTTCTGCACCAGGCTGGCACCACACACACAACCCATTGTTAAAACCTCCTAAGGACAGATTAGAGCACACATTCCTCAGAAGTACTGAGCTCCAAAGGGAAATCAGCCAGCAGGCTCCTTCCACCTGGGCAACAGCTAGCTACAACTGATAAGTTTTCATTCAAATACCTGGGAAGATTATATTGAGTCCCCATAGTCTCCAGCTAATGAGAAGGTGTTACATTTGCATTCTGACATGTGCATAGAAATGAGCCAGACAAGAGTAACTCAAGTCATTAGCTCACTTTTATATGCCTTTATTGAAGGTTTTGAGCAATTGTTAATCAAATTATTTGCCCAAGGTGTACTACGAGATTGGAGATTATTCTTTTCTTTCTTTTTTCTGGGCCTTATCTAGTAAACACTAGTATTTACACTATCTCTGTTTAGGTCAGAACAAATTTAACTAATATCTAACCAACAATACTGAAGTTAGATATGGGTTTAGGTAAAATCTGTTGAGTGACGTCACCGTTCCTTTTAATCAAACAGCTCAACTCGAAAGCTGAACACTCACAAAGAGCTTTGCTTTCAAGGCTTAGTTTTAACCAGTTTTAAATTAGAAAGCAAAATTGATTGTTCTTAATTTGGAGTCCTGGTGTGGCACTGTAGGTTAATATGCTGGACTGCAAAGTCGATTTGAACCTCAAGGTTAGCGGTTCACTTCCTCAGAAACCCTATTCAGGGTCGCTATGGGTTGGAACAGACTCGAAGGCATTTAACAACAATGGAAATTCTGCAACTTGACTTTTACTTAACAACTCACGTAATTGGTGAATTGGTGAGATATGAATTAAAGCACAACACATCTGCCTTTCCAGGAAGAAACCCCAAGGGTCCGGATTAAATTTTAGTAAGGGATTATGTTTGCCAGAATTTATATCGCAAAAGGGTTATGTTTGGCATTTGTAACAATAAAAGATTATTTGGGGGGGGGGAAGTAACCTGTTTTAACATACACTGTATTTACTAAGAAAATACAGTGTTACACATGGATACAGTTCAGCCTTTGAAAGAAAATAAAAGGCAAACGGTTTAGCGGATGGGTAATTCCTGAATTGGCAGAAATGTAAACATTGGAGCCTATGGGATTTATCAGTGATGTAAGGAAGGCTGAGACCAACACCAATGAGTCCTCTTTGACTAGCTTTAACACGTTTACAGTCACAATTAACATTCAAGGAATTTCCTTTTCATCCAAGTGTTTCTTTAAAAGCACTTTACAGGCCGCAAACTTTACAGTTGCCATCAGTCCTTCCCATACAAAAGGGTGCAGAAATCTCCATAACACATTTTTTTCCTTTCTGTTTTTGAAAATGGGTTTGGACCACGTTAATTTCCCTGGAGTGTTTGTTTACCAACACAGGGGATTCTCAGGGGCGTTTGGATTGGACACCCTTCTTCTACGTCCCTCACCCCGGAGCCTGAGGAGAGCCGCTGAGGCGCAGCCGTCTGGAGCGCTCCTCCAGCCCCAAGGGGCGCTGCTACCCGCAAGCTTTTCAGGCCCACCCTGAGGCAGTCGGGTCGGTGCTTTTCGCCAAAAAGGGAGAAGCGTCCGTCCCCTCGTCTCCTGCCCTACTACTCTTACACAAGGGATTCACACACAGGCACCGAATCCGAGTCTTGACTATGCATAGAGCTCAGTCCGGTATCCGAGTCCTCCTCGTCGTTCCCTGGACAGCTCTTGGCTAGTCCGCGGGCCTGGTCTACCCACACCTCGGTACAGATCTGAGGCTGAGGGTCCCGGGAAGGTCCGCTGGAGCCTGGAGACCCATTGGGCGCCACGGTCAACTCCAAAGTGTGCAAAGTCTGAAGAAGGCCCTGCAGTTCGCGCTCCTTGTTGGCCCACTGTTGCTGGCTGTAATCCAAGTCCGACTTGATGGCCTCCAGGTCCGTATTGAGCCGGAGCCCGATGTAGAGGCTAGTGCTCAGCTGTGTCCTGACCCGCTCCTGCTCCAGCAGCAACTCGCCGTCGGAGCCGCAGTCAGGCTCCGGGGGTCCCTCCCGCACCGCCAGCTCCTCCTGGCGCCGCCGCATCCACCGCTGGTTCAACTCCTCCTGAATCTCGGCTGAGAGGCGCTCCAGCAAGTCCTCCTGCTGGGCCCGCTGCTCCTGCAACTGCAGCAGGTCGTCACAGCGCCGGGTCAGCTCCTCCAGCGCCGCCGCCGCCTGCGCCTCGCCGTCCAGGGGCGCCGAGGCCTCCGTCTCCTTCGCCACCGCCGCCGCCTCCTCTACCGGACTGGCCTCGTCGAGTTCGATGCCCGCACCCACCAAGTAAGTGTCCTGCACGTAGTTGACCCCGTGCCGCCGCATGCGATCCAGGTGCACTTTGGCCTCGTAGCGATCGATCTCGAGGTCCAGCTCCCGGAGCCGCTGCACCTGCTGACGGATGGTGTGGTCCTGAGAGAGCACCAGATGCACCAGCGTCTCCATGCGCTCCACCGACGCGCTCTCGTGAGCCCGCGGCGACGACGAGCAGGACGAGGCAGTGGAAGACGAGGTGGACGAACAGGGAGACGGCGGCTGCTGCTGGCGCCGCCGATTGAGTTTGGCCAGCTTGCGGAAGGCTTTACGCACCACCCGCCGCTGCTTCTCCTGGGTCATGGCCAGGTTGGGCCGGGCAGGGGCCCCTCGGGTCGAGCAGGGGCGCTCCCGGCTGAGCACGACGCGCGCCTCGGCGCTACGGGGGCCCGCGTTGGGCAGTGACGCCTCGCTGCGCACCAACACGAAGCGCACATTCTCTTGTTCGTCGCCCCAAGCGGCCCAGAGGCGCAAGATGCGCGTCTTGTTGGGCAAAATGCGCTCAAAGCCACGCCACTTCTCCACGATGCAATAGCACTGAGGGGGTCCGCACAGCATCCCCTGTGGCACTGCCTCCTCGTCGTCCTCGTCGTCGTCGTCGTCGTCGTCCGGGGGTTCCAGCAGCTCCCCCAGGCCTGGAGAGTCTCCAGCCGCCCCCCGCCGCCAGCCCCTCCTCTGCCTCCGTCGCCGCCGGCAGCCGTCTTCCAGCAGCACCCGCACCACGTCCGAGCAAGTTGTGCGGCGGGAGAGGCCGGACACCAGCTTCTCCTCCTGGCAGATCCACACCGAGATCTTTTTCTCCGAGGGATCCATGGCGCAACCGGGACGCAGGTGGAGGGTCTGGTCCAGCCCGACAACTCCAGGAGGCAGGGGCAGCCTTGCAGCTCCGGAAAAGCAAAGGAGTCGGGGCCCCAGGCTCCCGAAGCACTAACGATTCTCCCCGGCTGTGCACCGAAGGCAGACGCCTATGCAGCCTGGACTGCAGGTGCTCCAGGGACAGCGTGCTCAGACCCGGACTCCAGCCACTCTGGCTCGGCCCGCGGCACCCGGGGCCTCCGAGTTTTGCTCCTCCCCACGTGGCTCCTCCTCCTCCCGCCCCCAGCTCTCGGAGCCGGGACCGGCGGCTCTGGAGACGCGGCGCTCAGATCCGCCCCTTGAAGTCCCGCCGCGCACAGTCCGCCCCGTCTGTCCCGTCAGGCTGTCAGCGTTGCGACCCTCTTGCGTCGCGGTGCCTTCCACTGACTAGCCGCTCAGCTGAACGCCCGCGCTCTCTGCAGCAGGGCCCGGAGTCCATGCCTTGATGATGATCAGATCTGTGACTCCCTCAGCCCAGTGCCTTTTCATCTCCCGTCTCATTTTGACTTTTGTACTTTTACAGGTGACCCTAAACAAGATTTCTGGTACTTTTGGGAAGTACCCCTTTCACAGACAGGGACACTGAGGCACACAGGACCAATTTATGAAGATGCTCCAATTTCCTGGCCCGACTTTCTCCAGCTAGAAGCTTTATGTGCTACCACGAATGTGAAAAGCCCAATCTTCATGGATGAAGAGCAATATGTGCATATTTAAGCAGGTGGACTAGATGGGGGCAGTGTGCTCCCGTTGCAAGTATGGCTATGGAATGGTCTTGGCTGGAGGGCACATTCATTCGTCAAAGAGGATCATCAGTGGGTCCCCAACAGAACCTCAGCTTTCCTCGAACTCGGTGGGAAGATTCCTTGTTCTAATGGAAGTTTGTGGCTCATACACAAATCACAAGCTCGTTTACGCATTCCACCTCCATAAGTTGAAACCGGGGCCATTATCATGGTGGTTTCTGGCATTTTCTAGGGTTCACATGTAGTCCAGAGAGATAAAAGTCAAGTTTTACAACACAATAATTCCTTGACCTGACTAATTGCAACTGTCACAATTGTAAAGGTAGAAGTTTTGTAATAAAAACGGGGGAGTAGTTGATCTTACAGTCCAGAAACAGAGGACCCTAGGACCATCAAAGGAGAAGAGTGCAAGTAGAATGCAGGAACCTAGCCAGAGAAGCAGCGACACTAGAGATGGAGGCAGAGATGGGGACATGGAGAAAGGAAGCAGCTGAGGACTAGATTCACGGAAAGAGAGTGACTGAGAGCTGGCAGCCAGAAGGCAGCCTTGCAGAACGTGCCCTTTGGTGGTTTAAATTATTATATATGCCTGAGTGTTTAAAAAAAGAACTAAAATGAATAGAGAGAAATACTGTTAACAGATGGTACATGGAGGGGATTATAATCATTGTAATGAAACAAAGTATATGATTTGTTGAATGTAAAACTAATGCTCTGCTCCGTAAACTTTCACTCAATTCACAATAAAAAGTTTAGAAAAAAAAAAAAAAGAATTCCATAACTTCAAAAGAATTTTTCCCACAATTCTCCATTGCTGTCTTCACTGCTGAAAGGTCCCTGTGTGCAAGGTGTGTCCTTGGGGGCACAAGTTTAACAGGGTCACTCCATCCACTTGCTTTAAAGCTTTGGATGACTCCCCACTACCTCCCAGATAAAGCTCTTAGTATTCATTCACTCCATTAATATTTATTGAGTACCTACTGTGCTCCAGGGACTGTGCTAAGAGTTTGATGATGAACAAAAATTCTGGCCTGCAAGGAGCTTACAGTCTAGAGACAGCACAGCTGAGTGAAGACTTCCAACACAGAGTGCTCTGTGTTCTGATAAGGGGGACCTGATGGTGCTAGGGGAAGGCTAGAGGGGCATCCAGCTCAGTGTGGAAGAGCCAAGGAAGGTTTCCCCTAGCAGGTAGTACAGTAGGCAAAGCCTGAAAGACCACCGGTGGCCATCAAGTCCAACTCTTGGCAACTCCATGTCTGTCAGAATAGAGCTGTGCTCTGCAGAGTTCTCAGTGGCTGTGATGTGTTGGCTGTAGATCCCTAGGACTTCCTTCTGAGGCCCCTTTGGGTGAATTCAAACCACACCCCTTCTGTTAGTAGCTGAGCATGTATGTATCTGTGCCACCAAGGACTCCAGAAAGGCCATTTGTTGTTGTTGTGTACTTTTGAGTTGGTTTCAACTCATAGCAACCCTGTATAGGGTTTCCAAGGAACGGCTGGTGTGCTTGAACCACCAACCTTGCAGTTCAAACAAGATGGTGGGGAAGGAGTACAAGAGAACTATTATATGTAAAGTAGAGGAATGCAGAGACCTGGCAGTTGGGGGTGTGCCATGGAGTCTGTTCCGACTCTCCATGACCCTGTATAGGGGTTCCAAGGCTGTAAATCTTCAAGGGAGCAGAAAACTTCATCTTTCTCCTGCAGAATGGCTGGTAGTTTCGAACTGCTGACTTTGAGGTTAGCAGCCCAACTTGTAACCACTGTGCTACTAGAGCTCCTTAGTTACTGCGACTAAAAAGAGTTTAAGTGAGATGAGTGAATAACCATGAAGCTGTGTCGATGAGCAGGATCAGAATCAGAACAGGCCTTTATTTAGGCATTTGGAATTACTTCAGAGGCAATGAGAAGTCAGAGAGTGTAAATTCGGGAGTCAGACTTACTAAGTAAGAATCTTAATCCTGCCATGGTCATGAAGGATATCCCCCAAACTGAAAACTGATGTGTAGGTATACAGACATTTGTAGATGGGAATAAAGAGGAACTTGGCTTCATCTGTAATGATTTATGGCCCCTTAGTAGCGTAGTGGTTACAAATCAAACTGCAAGGTCAGCAATTTGAAACTACCAGCTTTTCCGTGGGAGAAAGATGAGGCTTTCTGCTCCCCTAAAGATTTACAGCCTCAGAAACCCTATACAGGGTCAATATGAGTCCGAAGCGACTCCACGGTACATAACCAACCAACCAGTAGCAGAAAAGGAACCCTGATACCACTGTAGTAAAAGCATTCAGCTGTCAACCTGGACGTCAGTGATTTGAACCCACCAGCTGCTCCACAGAAGAGAGATGCGGCAATCCACTTCCATAAAGATTACACGTTGGAAACCATCTGGGACAATTCTTCTCTGTCCTATCAGGTCGCCCTAAGTCAGAATTGTCTCAATGGCAGTGGGTTTGGTTTTCATTTGCCCAACAGCACCACAGAAGAAAAGCCAGCTAGTCTGTGTCTATAATGATTATAGTCAAGAAACCTCTAGGGAGCAAGTGCTATTCTGTAACACACAGGGCGGCCATAAGTTGGAAGCAATTTGATGACAATTAGCTGGGGGTGTTTTTTGGTAAAGATTTTACAAGAAGTATTCGTTGTATTTGTTACTTATGCAATTCTAATGTATAATTTTACAGTGAAAAAGGCTTCTGTTGGAATCACTGAATCCTGATTCTCCCGGATTCCTTTCCTTCACCTGGCAGTTTCTCATTTCTCTATAACCTTAAATAATGCATATAGCTCATGACTTTATCCCAAAGGGTTGCAAAGGTCAGGTGTTACTGACTGAGGAGTCTAGTTTGGTACCTAGTTCACATTGCATCTTTCCATCCCCTTCAGGATGAGCTTCTTAGAAGACAGGACAGTTCTTACAGTTGTGGCAGAGCCCTTAGCTTACATCCTCACATTCAATCCCAAGGGTGGTTGCTTTTCACCCTTGTGGCTTTTCAGTCATTTATCTTCCTAATACCTGTGAGAGGTAGGACATAGCTCCCTTGTCCGTGAGAAAACTGAGGCAGAGAGAGGCGCCAAGGGGAAGGGGTTGGCTTGTTTCCCAGCTCACAAAGCTCTGTGGGAGCTGGTATTTTGGTCTGGAATTTCTACCTGTCCCATCTGTCAGTCATGGTTCACAGCCACCGTGGAACACCCAAAACAGGAACTTCCGCCCTTAATTAGACTGAGCCATGCAGAAGTGTGACTGAGCCTTCCTACCTGCATCAGTTCCTCTAAATGATTAACCTCAGAGAATAATCCAGCAAGTTGTGTTGACAGAAACATTTGCTTACTCTCCAGCACATCAGGGGAACTCTGGGAATTGTCACAATAGTCACCCATTCCTGACCTAACTGAGCTCCCTGCTGGGGCAGAGATCTCAGGCTGTCATCCTTAAAAGACGTGGCTTCTTAAAGTCAGGTCAACAAGTCACCTACCAAGAATCACTTGGAATGCTTGTCAAAATGCAGATTCCTGGGCCTCACCCTTTTGTTGTGAGCTACTGTGAAGTCAGTCCCCAATTTATGATGAACCCAAACTCAATGGGAATCCCCGACTCATGATTATCCCAGAGCAGAACTGCCCCATGTGGTTTTCTTGGCCTTTACAAAGGCAGTTCACCAGACTGTTTACTTCCACAGAGCCGCTGGGTGGGTTTGAACCACCAACATTTCAGTTAATGGCTGATCAAACCCCTTTCACTCACCCTAGACCTAAATGAATCAGAATCTCTGGGGCTGGACCCCAGGGCCCTGCATTTAAAACAGTCTTCCTTGGGGATTCTTAAACACTCGGAAATTTGACCTCAGCTTTCATAGAAAGCTTGTGAACACAGGAATGTCCTTAGAGGATGGTAGTCTTTGGGTCATCTTGGTCCCATAGATGGTAATAATAACCACTTACATGCCCAAGAGGATGGTGGCAGTACATGGCAGATGCGAAAGAGATTCCCTTGGGAAGAGAGAGAAAGGAAGAGACAGAGCAGAATGGGGTAGAAGCTGCCCATCTCTTATCTTCTTTGGAATCTTCTGTCTTTGAGACCTGGGTTACAAGGTGATGATAACATAGAAATGTTTAGGTGAGAGGGTCTAAGGTAGCAGTGACTTCAGCCATCCTATAGACTTCTGCAAGGTATTTAGCCTTTTTAGTCTTTGTTCCAGCTAAAACAACCTCTT